TTCTCTGATTGCCTGTATAACACAATTTAGTCATTTATTATTTATACAATATTTAATACAGATATGTCACCTTTTATTCTTTTTCTCTATTGCTTTATGTTATATTGCCTTAACTAGATGTAAGTGCCTTATAGAGAAGTGCTCTGTTTAAATCTCAGTATTTATTCTAGTCCTAACCTAAGGATGTTGGAGAAACTATAGTAGTTTGTTCACTGAATCTTTTGTAATGCAAAGCCTGTTTTTCTGTAAAGTCATTCACCAATACTGGCATTTGCTAATGGTTCTGCCTAGGGATTCTGTCTTGTAACTGTATTACTTTTTCTTGATAATGAATTTTGATTATACGTACATTGACTGTAATGGAAATCAACCATGCAAATGATCTCAGACCCTGGACCTACCTCCTCCCAAAAACTACTTCTGAGAAAACTTGTTACAAAAATTTAGAGTGACTCCTCAGACCATTACTGATACTGTTGTGACCTTACCCCAACACAATAAGTATTCCATTATTAATTACAAAAATTCAAGTAAGGTTTCTCAAAGTTTTGTTGTTTTTTTCCAAGTAGAAGCCTAATAAAGCATCAATGATCACTTTTAAATCTTCATTCTCAATCTGTTGGTAAAACTAACATTTTTAGATTATTATAATTAAATCAATATTTAATAATTGCTTCTTATGAATTGTGAGGTTTTTTGACTAGTACTTAAGAGGTTGTTTTCATAAGTCTTTTTTAAAGTTTGTTTTTCAGTTACAGTTTACATTCAATATTATTTTGTATTAGTTCCAGGTGTATAGCATAGTGGTTAGCCAATCATATCCTTTACAAGGTGGCCTAGCCCCCCAATATTTCAAGTGCCAACCTGGCACCATAAATAGTTATTACAATATTATTAACTATGTTTCCTAAATTGTAATTTACATCCTTGTGACTTTTCTGTAACTACCAATTTGTTCTCCTTAATCCCTTCACCTTTTTTACCCAGCTGCCAGCCCCTCTCCCCTCCGGTAACCATCTGTCTATTCTCTGTATCAATGAGTTTGTTTCTGTTTTGTTTCTTCATTTATTTTGTTTTTTAGATTCCACATATAAGTGAAATTATATGGGTCTCTCTGTCTGATTTATGTCACATAGCCTAATACCCTCTAGGTCCATCCATGCTGTCATGAGTCTTGAAGAACTAGTTTAGGCCTTCAAATTTATTTACAGTAGACTTTCCTTATTTCAGAAAATGATCTCCATCTAGTGGACAACATGTTATATTACAACCTGCAAAGAAAAACATCAAAGCCCGTAGAATATTTCCATATTAAGCATTTTATGACCTATTAAATTTTTTGTCTTAATAAGTAATATTATTTCAAAATGTTAATTGTTTTAAGAGATTTATCAGTATATGTTATAAACCTTGTAGTGGAGAGACTCTGTAAGTTAAGATTTGCTTAAGTTAATTGGAAAAAATAAGAGTAATAAAAAACACAAATTGATGATTTTTTGGTTATGTTGATATTTACCCAATTGAACTGAGAAAAATAAAGTGTAAATTATACTCCTTTGTGTTTTATATTTTTATTAATGCATAACAAGGAGGGAGTACTTACTTTTTATTTTTAAACAGTAAGGACAGATGAGACCATGCACATTTAGGGTGTGGCTATAGACAAGGCAATATACAGATGATGTATTATATAATAGTACACTTTGAAACCTATATAATTTTATTAACAGTTCACCTCAATAAATTTAATAAAATTTAAAATAAGTAAGAACATCTTAATATTCTAGGGAAATCAACATAAGCCTTTTTTATGTGCTCACATTATTAAGTCATCCTCATGCTGAAGAGCTTTCATGACCGAAGAAATCTCTTCCCCTCCTCCTGTCCAGAGGCCTTGCATATCTTCCAGCTGTATACTGAATAACTTCAAAAGCCCCCTTTAAATAAAATACTAATCTTCTATGAGCCCTTCTGAGATATCCCAGCGTGGATTAATCTTATCTCCTTCAGTTTGTGTATCTCATTGTGCTCACATAAGGGGCTTAGTAGATGCTTATTTAATTTGGCATACCCAAGAAGAGCTTGCCTGCAATCCCTAATACGTTTCTTTAGTGATTAGAGGTCCCTTTCCCCTGTTGGCCTTCCTCAAGATTGCCAAACATCCCACATACAGGAAGTGCCTCTCCAGATGAAGCAAATGTCCCCTATTTGGGTGTCACAGTTACTAACACACATTTGTAGTTTACATAATTATACACTAGAGGTGGAAGAACTTCATGAACAAGAGATCATTACATCCAGTTAGCTCAGTGACTTTGGTCAGTTTACTTTCTTAGGAGCCAGAATTCTTTTCTATAAAATGAGTCTGTTCAACTAGATAATCTTTCATTGTCCTTTAAGGACCAAATAGATGCATTTATAAAGTGATACAATTCTAAGAAAGTGTTAAATTGGAAAACATGTTTGTGACTGGTAAGGCTGCATTACGAGCTTTCCCTCTTTTTTTTTAAACTAGATGAACCGAGTCAATATTTTTATTTAGTCATAGATTCATAGGTGAGCCATGAAACTGCCAGTCCCCAGCTTTTTCTTTCACTTTGGCTTCTAATCTTTGGGTCATAACACTATTTATGAATAATTCCAATGGAGAAAATAAAATAATGTTTTGAAATTAGCTGATTAATAGTTGGAATAAAGGTTCCAATGGCAAAAATATTGTGAACAACTAAACTTGAATTCATTTGTGTTTTTTTTTTAATTTATTTACTTTTCAAATACATTTGTCTCTGCCTTCCCCCCACCACTTTCCCTTGCCCCCTCCCTCAACCCTTCCCCTTTGGTTTTGTCCATGAGTCCTTGCTATATGTTCCTTGACTTTCCCCTTCCCTTCCCTTTCCCTGCCCCGCCCTTCCCTCTTGTCTCTGTTGATTTCTTTTCCTTTCAGTGTTGCTGGTCATATTTTCCTTGCATCTTCGTATTGTTGGTTAGGTTCCGCTTATAGGTAAGATCATATGGTATTTGTCTTTCGCCCCCTGGCTTATTTCGCTTAGCGTGATGCTCTCCAGTTCCATCCATGCTGTCGCTAAGTTTAGTAGTTCTTTTTTTCTTTCTGCTGCGTAGTATTCCATTGTGTATATGTACCATAATTTTTTGATCCAATCATCTACTGATGGGCATTTAGGTTGCTTCCAACACTTGGCTATTGTAAATTGTGCTGCTATGAACATTGGGGTGCATAGGTTCTTTTGTATTGGCGTTTTGGTGTTCTTAGGGTATAGTCCCAGCAGGGGAATCCCTGAATCAAAAGGCAGTTCCATTTTCAGCTTTTTGAGGAAATTTCACACTGCTTTCCACAGTGGCTGCACCAGTCTGCATTCCCACCAACAGTGGACTAGGGTTCCCTTTTCACCACGGCCTCGCCAGCACCTGTTGTTTGTTGATCTGTTTATGATGGCCATGCTGACCGGTGTGAGGTGGTACCTCATGGTGGTTTTGATCTGCATTTCTCTGATGGCTAGTGATGCTGAGCATCCTTTCAAATGTCTCTGGGCCCTCTGTATCTCCTCCTTAGAAAAGCATCTGCCCAGGTCCTTTGCCCATTTTTTGATTGGATCGTTTGTCTTCTTGGAGTGGAGTTGAGTGAGTTCTTTATATATCTTGGAGATCAAACCTCTATCTGATGTATCATTAGCAAATATATTTTCCCATACGATTGGCTCCCTTTTCATTTTGCTGATGTTTTCTTTCGCCGTGCATTTGTTTATTTATTCATTCAACAATCTTTAACCACATACCTGAGCTATTACCTTCCTCTCATAAGAACACATGTGAGTTGACTTTATTTTAATACTGGTTGATGTTTGACTAGAAAAGTTCTTTGTGGAAAGTTTATCTGGATCATACGGCCTGTGATGTTAAGAACTGTGCATGTGTGATTCTTTTTTCCCCGAACTCTAATATCTGTATTGCTGAGCACAACGCCTTTCATTCATTCACTCATTCAGTCAAACCATTTAGTAAAATTTTCTTAAGTGCTAGGAACAGAGTCTCCATTCTCAGAGAGCTCACAGTCCAGGAAAGGAGACCAATAGTAAGAATTTCTGTTGCTGGCAATTGCTACAAATAAGGAGTGGGAAGGTGTGTTGGGAGCACAGAGAAGGGCATCTCATGCCTTTCAAGTGAAGGCTAAATCCTCAAGCATGAATAACTGTTAGACAGGGAACAGAAGGTTAGGTAGTGATAGCCTGAGATGGTGGTTCAGCTGAAATGCCTGATGGAACATGGTGCAGGGTTGCACGTTGAGGCTGGGAAAATGTAATTAAGAATGGATTATTAAGACTGTCAATCTAGCCAAGAAATGTGAACTTAATCCTGAGAACAACAGTGACCTACTGAAAGGTTTTAATCTGATGAATGATAATAGATTTGTAGTTAAAGAAGAATCACTCTTAGTACAGGGTGGAAAATGGATTCATTTTTAAGGCTGTTATAATTGTAGGTGGGACTTGATGGAACCATGGACTTAATATGTTGGCTTTGGGATGGAGGGAAGTGGATACAATAGAAAATAGTGACTGTATAAGTATAGGCAAAAGGGAGAGCTGCCCAGGCTTGAAGAATCGATGATATTAGGCATACAGTGAGCAGTTTTTGAACGAAACCCACTTACTTAGTGAATTGCTATGTATTTATTCTTTTCCTAAAAGAAATTCTATACTTAGGAGAACTCTTTTCAGAATGATTTCTTTTTAACTGACCTTGATAGACCTATGTCTTGTATCTGGTTGGTTAAAGAAAGTATCAAGTATCCCAAAGCTTAGAAAGACAAGAGTATGAAGTCACTGTGTCTTTTCACTTTTGTGTAGTTCAATATTATTCTTCTTTAACAACAGGAATCAGCTGTAGATTTTCCCACTGTCAATTTCTAAACCGAAATCTCCCTTTACTAAAATATCAACATGCAAGTATTCACAACAATGTCATTCCTTCTTCATTTACAGTTTTGATGTGGACAATGGCACATCTGCGGGACGGAGTCCCTTGGATCCCATGACCAGCCCAGGATCTGGGTTAATTCTCCAAGCAAACTTTGTCCACAGTCAACGTCGGGAGTCATTTCTGTATCGATCCGACAGCGATTATGACCTCTCTCCAAAGTCTATGTCCCGGAACTCCTCCATTGCCAGTGATATGTAAGTATAAGGGTGAGAAAGAGAAGAGGGAATTTCTATACAAAATCAAGTTAGTTTATGTCTGGAGTTGATGATGTAGTAAAACCAACAGTATTTGTTTGCCTCCATCATTATAAAATTTAGAAGGAATGGTGAGGAAAATTACACAATCAGAAGATAAATGTTAGATTTAACTTTACACTGTCACTGTTGATAAACATTTATTTTCCCACAGATACATTATCTGGGAAAAGTGAGAATTAAATTTTTAATGAAACCATTTACACTTAAAACATTAGCTTATAATCACGTCGGACCTGAGTTTCAGCTACCCAGCCACATAAATATTTTCTAATTTGTCAAAAAACTTTAAACTCATTTTGAAAATCCTTGTGATATTAGAGTGTGTAGCATTATAAATATATCTCAGTTGATGTGCCATGAACGTGTTAGCACTGATCTGCCAGATCAATTTGAGAGGTCTTTGTGGGGGTGTGAGGTGCACAGGGTTGCCTAAATTAAACCATTTTTGGAATATGGATCACTGGAGGCAAGCACAGAAAACATTAAATAGACTTGAATATCATTTAAGAGGTGACATAGATTGGGAAATAATTAAAACTAATAAGTAGGTTCACAGATCATACATGATTATTAGCTCATTTTTTCATCAATCCAATCCTGTGTTTACTATCATGTTCTTTAGCTTTCTAAGTTATGGAAGCTTCTAAATAGGACCTTACTCTCACTGAATACCTACACTGTCATTTGTGGTAATTCTTACGTCTGTATGTAGAGTCGGTCCCTACTTCCCTCCTCCGCATCTAGACATTTGTCCAATAACACTCACCATTTTCTTATGATACCACCTCAAAAACTCAGGACAGGTTGCCATTCATCTTACAGAGATTAACTTATGTAAGGCCTCTGAGGGTCTGGTGTTATTCTTGACACCCTAACAGATCCCCAGAGTATTCCAATGGGTCTGAATAGGATTCTAGACATGAAATTGTGCTTCACTCATTTTCACAACATATTGCTCTTGGTCGCCATTTTACTGACATTTGTAAAATGATAGTACAATTAATGCTGTAACCTCCCTATGAATGAGTGACTAAACTGCAATCATTTAATTTGAATACTGAACTATTAAACTCCTATTGTGTAGCTGTCCCTGTTTGAAGCACTGCAGGAGATAAAAGGAAACCATAAGACAATGTTCTTGATTTCAAATAATGAATAATCTATGTATGGAATAACAGGTCTCAGATCAAATGATTAGTGGAAAAGATGTATATAAGCTCTAATTTGTGTACTGGTGGACTACAGGTAAAAGCATCTCACTATCTACTATAATAATGCACAGGTCTACACTATCCTTCAAAAGTATGTATTTTTTCCTTTGCTTTTTTGGCACCAAAACTCCTTTGAGACATTACATCTTCCCATTCTCCCACCCCCACCCCAGAGATCCACATCTCTTCCCTACATTTCCTTACCATGCTGTGTTGCCTTAATATTCTGAAATCTATCTTCCATTCATACTGACCTCTGGAAGAGAATACATCCCATAAAGTGGAAGGTACATTGCCAGTTAGAGGAAATACAGGAGTGGGCAAAAGGAGGTTTACAGTTGTTAGCATAGAAAAAGACATGCAAGTTATGATTATTACCGTAGATTTATTAACTCAAAAGAATGTCACAATGGCACACTGCCCTTAGGTACAATCTTGTAAGTGCACAAATTGCTGGCCTTCATTATTTACATATTCTTGTAATCTGCTTGCCATATACAAGCACACTTGGGCACGGAGTTCTTTATTGTCATCAGTAAACTTACTTTTGCCCACTCCTGTATGTTCAAGGGAGATAAGAGGAGCTGGTGAAGGAGAGGTCCCTGAGAAGGAGGACAGAGAGAACAAAACAATGATAAAAGCTAGGAGATGAAAACCATCTTGTACAGGACAGGACAAAAGTAGGTTTATAGTTGTTTGTATGGAAAATAATACAGTAATTAATAAATACTAATACAATAATAAACTCTGTGTTTCAAGTACTGACAACTATAAACTTACTTTTGTCCTGCCCTTTATTTATTATGAATTCCTTATATGAGTGGTATCTACTCTAATTTATCCCAAAACAGCTTCCTTTTTCCAATGTCTCTATTCCTGTTATTTTTATCGCATTTCGTCAGGCTTGAAATTTAAGTCATTTATTTATTCATTCACACATAATGGAAATACTTACTGAGCAACTGTAGTGTGTGGAAAGCTCCCAATATGCAGATAGGATGGTCTTGCACTTATTACCTTTGTAATAAAGTGCAGTGGCACCATCTGTGTGGCATCCCACCCAAGGAAAGCCAGGCTGAAGAGCGCTGTTTGCATAAGGTGAGGTATGGGAAGTCGTAGCTCAGTTAAGAAACGACAGTCTGGAGAGAAGATCCAAAATGGCGGAGGAGTAAGTAAAAGCTACACTAACCTCCTCCCCGGACCAATCTGAAACTACAAATAAGTTGTAGAGAAATTATCCAGAATAACCAATGGAACAATACTGGAGAGAAGCCTTACAACCACGGACAGATGGAAGAAGCCACCTCACCACAATGTGACCTGTACAGAGTGCGGAGGAGACACGAGAGGGCCGGCTTGGTTCCCAAGGGCAGCAGCTGAAGTGCCAGAGGGAAATTGTGAACTTCCTGAGAACTATCAGGTCTAAACACCAAGCTGGGCTCTGCAGCCTACAGCACCAGAGCCAGGAAAGGAACCCAAGTAACATCCAGCTATGAAAAGCAGCAGAGTTTCTGTCTGCCAGGAAGTGATGGCTGGAGTGACAAAGCCTTCTAAAGGGTCAAGAGATCATTTTGTTTGCAGCCACTTAGCCTGGGCTCTGGCAAAGAAGGTGCAGAGTGGATTAGAGATGCTGGAGTAGAGTCCAGAGATGCTGGATGGAGGCTTTGGGGAGAGAACTGAGGGAGCAGTTGCATTGATCCTTGTTCTGAGTCATCCCTCATACTGCAGTAATCATCTCGCTCAGGCAGAGCACTCCCCTCTGAGTGGCATCAGCCTGAGGGAAAGCAATAGCTCTTCCCCCAGGAGTTACTCTGCCCCACCCTGTGGTGCTTAAGCCTCACTGCATGATTGCAGATTGACTAGATTAACAACAGAAGGAGAAAGCCACAGACATGAATTACTGGTAGCCTCGGACTGGCTGCCTAGCGCCACACTAGGACACCATCTGACATCACCAGGGGTGGGTCCAGAAGGAGAAAACAGTGAGATGAATTCCACTGCAGTCTTCTTCATGATTTGTGTTATTTTCTCTCCTGCATAACTTTTTAACATTCATTTCTTGTCCTTCAAGTTTGTACGTATTAAACCACTAGTTTTTATATTATAGTTTATTTCGTATCTCATATTTTTCTCCTCCCTCCTCTTATTCTATTTTACCTTCTTCTTTCTTCTTATTATTTTCATTTTAAATTTTATTTTCTCTCTTGCTACAACTTGTTTCCATTCCACACTCTTACTGTTTCTGCCCCTTCTAGACTCTCAAAACCATTTTTCTTTTCACTAGTCACCCACATTCTTTTTCCCATTCTTAAAATACCCTTAGTCTCTCTCCACCTTTATCAGTCTTTGCTCATCAGTTGTGGATATGGTGCTTGTTGTTGCATTTCTCCAGTTTTATTTCTAGATCTTTACTACTTTTGTGTTTCAAATCTCAAATTTTATTGTTACCCTCTCCTACTCCATTTTGCCTTCTTCCTGCCCTTTATTTTCATTTTAAATTTAAATTTTTCCCTGTCTTAACCTGGTTTTCATTCCTCACTCTTAGTATTCCTTCTCCTTCTATCATCTCAAAATCACTTCTCTTTCATCTAGACATCTCTTAACCTTTTCTTTCTTTCTTTTCCCCTCTTCCTCACCTCCCACCTATATTAATCTTTGCTCATTGTTGTTGATAGTGCTGTGGTGGATCTTTTTCTCCAATTTGGTCCCTATTTTTTTCTTTTGTCTCTCACTACTTTTTTATTTTTATTTATTTTTAAAATTTCTGTTTAAACCTAATACTATTCACTTCCCTTCTCCTACACCATACTGCCTTCTTCCCTCCCTTTTTTATTTACAATGTAAATTTTCCTTTCTTTCTCTCTTTGCCTTGTCCTTATTCCCTATTCTTATTATTGTTCCTCCCTCTACCCTCTCAAAATTACTTTTCTTTCAGTTATATCATATTCATTTCTCCTTTCTTATAATAGTCCTAGTATTTTACACTTTTTTAATACTGGCTTATTTGCTTTTCATAGTGCATTTATGGGTGGGGGTTAATTTTGCAGGTGTGAGTTTGTTTCCTGGGTTATTTGGTTTTGTCCTGGCAGCAACTGTACAACAGCATACCAGACATGGTGGGCAGAGTGTGACTCAGTCAGCCAGCCAGAGTGAAGGATGCCCGAAAGAATGACCGAACAACAACCAAAACCCAATTACAATAGGAAAGGCCACCGAAACGGTATAAAGGGCACTGCAAGAGCATCAAGTTCAGAAGTCAAGGAGACTATAGCACTGAATCCCACAGGTTTCCTACCACAGGTCATACCATGAGACAGAGTCAGAGCCGATCAGTCTAAGAAGCAAAAACAAAGAAGAAGAGTTGCTTAAAATGGGGAGACAAATAAACACCCCCCAATCAAAAGGAAAGAAGGAATCCCCAGAAAGAGTGCTAAATGAAATTGAGGCAAACAAACTATCAGACATTGAGTTGAAAATAATGGTTATAAGAATGCTCAATAAGCTCAGTGAGAACCACAAAGAACTTCAGGGAAGCTACAAGAAACTTAATGCTTACTACACTAGCATGAAAAAAAGGACATAGAACCTATCAATAAGAGCCAGGAAGAAATGAAGAACACAGTGGAAGGACTCAAAAGCAGGCTAGATGAAGCAGAGGACCAAATCAAGCTGGATGACAAAGGAGAAAAAAATTCCCAAAGCTACAAAACAAAAAAAGACTCAAAG